TAAATATTTTTATACGGCTTTCTTTTTTGAAATTGTGCAAATACCGTAAAATTCTATCTTTAAAAGGATTAACATCTTTTTTTTCAATCGTTAAAAATATATCTCCAGCCACACCTTATATATAATCCTTGCTCTTCATCAATATTTGAATGTATATCTTCAAAACTCTCAAGATCAATGATCGAAAGAATCGTAGATAACAAGTGGACGTATGAGACAGCAATCGATACTACAAAGTCGATTTACAAAATTTGAAAATAGTTGGAAGGCATTAAACCCGAGCGATCATATCCTTCCTTCCCTCAAACGAATATCTTTTTAAGTAGCATTTGCGTATCCATTTGTGTTTCTCGCACGACAAATTTCTCCTCTGTCTGTCTGTCTGTCTGTCTGTCTGCCTGCCTGTCATCCCTTTTCCATCGCCCTCGTTTCGCCGATTCTCTCTATCGTGTATACAGAAATGGAGGATCAATAGGGTGGTGGAGGAGGGTACGAAAGCACCCCAACGCGATTTCATGACTCATAATACACACTTGTTCGAGGCCCCTCTACGCTTTATCGCACGCCACATCCCTTGTATCTAAATTATTTTTACAACATTTTTTTCCATTTCCTTTTAAACGATACGTATTTTTTTCTCGTCGCATAATATACTTGGGCCTATTGATTTTTCCACGATGCCGCCCGTCTTCCTCGCTCTTCTCGAATTAATTAACGCCGACCCGCTCTTGGAAACGTTTCGACGGGCATTTTTCGGTACCATCGGCAGAATTGTACTTCCGCTCCACGCAAAAGAGAATTCACTCGATCAAAGGTTTTTTAACCCCCCCCCGGTTACCGCGGGTTTCTTAGACCCGTTCTACCTCGTTTTATCTTCGAACCTCTCTCTGCAAAGTTTCAGGAACTACCTTTTTTAATTCTTTCTCTCTCTCTTTCTTTTTTTTTTTTGTTCGATTAAAGTGTTCGAAACGGTACGTTAAACCGGTTATATTCCGAGAAGGAATATTCGTGAAAATGTAGCACAAGAGAATTACGGTGATACTTTAAAAT